TTTGGTATATGAATGTTTGATTGCAGTATTAGTAATGGTGCTTGTCAAAATAACCTGCTTTTCTCAGTCGTAATTTCAGTGATATAATATCTTTATACAATATATTTATTAAAAAAGAAAATAAATATATTTAATAGGTAGCAAATTAGGTATTTTTAAAATTGTAAGAATAAGAAAATAACTGAACCTGCCTCATCAGTGTTTAAATTAACAACTTTGCTTAAATACAATTTAAAGTTTTGTAAATGTGATCAGGAAATAACTGACCAGAAAGTAATAAAAAAAAGTCTAATATTCAACCCACTCTTTTGCTGCCAACTGTCACGTTTCAAACCTCTCTTCTATGAATTCATTTCAGTCTCAAAAACTTGAGTTTTGATACCCAGCCCCACTGCTCCCCAGTTATATGATAAACTAAGCAGTACTCTGTGTCTAATCTGTAACCTTCCACCCTCTTTCACTCTTTCTCCCTCAGATTATCTGTGCAGCCCAGACGAGAACATTTACAACATCGACTTCACCAGGTTCAAGATCAGAGACATGGAGACCGCCACAGTGCTGTTTGAAATCACCAAACCTCCATCCACAGGCGAGTCACCAAACCACTCTATGGATTTGTTTCATTATACCTTTATTTACCATGAAAACACTTGCAGTGAACACATTGTAAAGCAGCTTCATACATACTAATATCAGAAACATCCTCATGATTATTCTTCTTGAGATTTTTATGTATTTTGTTGTCAAGTATATAAAATATAGAAACCAGAGATCTCCATCATAGTCTAAAAACTTAATCACACATTTATCATTTCTAAGCCCAATATAAATGTTTATTAAATGGTTTATAACACACTACAATGTAGTTATAAGGAGGTGCATGCTGGTAGTGACACACAGCTTGTGGAGGCAATTAAGTTACTTTAAAACCGACTGCCACATTTTGCATTAAACATCATTCTCATTCTCTGAGTCATAACTCAGTCAAATCTGAACACACAGACATGATACACATATTTTTAGATTCAGTGGGACTTACACTTACAAGGGTATCATTATCTCATATCCCATCACAAAGAAACTACATATAAATAAAAATATAACTCCAGCCTTATGTCTTTAGTGATAAATGTAATCCTGTAATAGTTGTCCATACATTGATGGGTACAAAACAATGTTTAGTTCAGTTAAACAAACAAATGGCTGTTTATTCTTTACCAAATAAATGCATTATTTTTCCTACTAGACATAAACTGAAATATAAACCTGATCCTCATTCTGGTTTTCTGGCTTGTTCAATATTGTATTTGCTGTAAGAAATGTTTGTTTTCAGCCACCACAGCCAAGCCCAAGGAAAATGTCCATGTCTAAAAATATTTTATTTCATTATATTCTGTTCCATCCCACACAAACTGATCCTCGCGTTAGACAAAGCAGGCGATAAGAGGGACGTTGACCCCAACGCCGGCCGATTTGTCCGTTACCAATTCACCCCTGCTTTTCTCCGACTGCGACAAGTTGGAGCCACGTAAGTGAGAACGTGTGTGAATCTTTACTTACAACGATGAATTTACCAGCAGATTGATTGCAGTGTCCTCTGTCTCTCTCTCTGTTTGGCTGTCTGTGATTTCTCTGTCTCACTCACTTTTTTTCTCTCTGTCTGTCTGCCTGCATGCATGTCTGTCTGTCTGTCTTCGTCCCTCCAGGGTTGAGTTCACGGTCGGAGACATGCCGATAGAAAACTTCAGGATGATCGAGAGACATTATTTTAGAGACAGGCTGCTGAAGAGTTTTGACTTTGAGTTCGGCTTCTGCATGCCCAGCAGCAAGAACACATG